TTTTCTTGTCTCTAACATTTGAAATCTATATTAATATAAAAAAAATTGTCTAATTATCAGCAATATCGCGACCTTACAATTTTTGATAATTTTAACCAAATTTTTAGAATTTAACAGGAATAATCTTACAGAACTCAAAATTGAACGAGCGTCATTAGACATGGCCACGGGTCAAGCGGCCCGTCGACTCGGCCCGGAATCGGCACCGACCCAGCAAGGTCAAACCCGTTTACCACGAGTCCGGGCCCGGCACGAATTTCAAACGGGCCGGTCAAGGGTCATATTTTTTTACCTTGACCCGACGGGCCGAGCCGGGTCCGTGTCGGCACGAAAATGCTTTTGATTTGTTTTCTTTTTTTTTATGTGGTCGGGGGTCCAAACCCGGGTCGGGTCGGGCCTAGCCCGCCGGGTCGTGGACCGGGCACGGCCAGTTCAGGGTCGTCGAAACTCAACCCGTTGGCCCGGCGGGCCGGGCCAGGTCACGGTTTTTTGCCATGTCTAGCCGTCATAGTTTTGCCAACTCGTCCGTTAATTGACGGACATTTCCATTTTCCAGCAAGGAAGAGGATCATTTAAATATCTTGGAGCATGTTTGTTTATAAATTTTCTTGGTTTTGATTGAGTTTTTTGTTTGAGTTGGTTAAATTTGAAAAAGTTGGTATAGTTAATTGTTAGACCTACTCCAACCAATACCCAAAACGTAAAAAATAGGGTAAAATTTCTCCAACCGAACTGCAAAATGGAACGCAAAATGGGTTTGCAGCTTTCTCTCTCATCCCTCAAACGCATGTATGCGTTCACAGCAAAAAAATGCGTATGACCTTTTTTATTTGCACTCAAGTCCAATTTTGCAACTTCCATGACATATTGACCAAGATTTAAAAAAAAAAAACCATACCCACAATTTACATATTTTTTGTCCATCACTTTACATTTTTGTACATATTGTGAAAAAACTAAAAAAATAAGAAATGTATTTTTCTCAATTGAATGTGCATTTTGTGTTATGAATATGAAAATTAATTATGTTAATATATTTTGAATTTTATGTTTTGCATTTTAGTATACATAAAAAAGCCGAAAAAAAAAATAGTAGCGTTATGAATATGTAAGTTAAGTTAGTTTAATATAATTATATTTTAGTGGTAACAATAATAAAATAACATATTAATCTATGATAGATTTTATATGGAATATATGTTACGTATAGATAATAAATTAATCTAGCCAAGCTGAAAATATTAGCAAAATCTATTCATAACAATCATACCAAGATTTTGAATAAATTTATTAACATTATAGAAATTTTTAAGTTGAAAACAGGAAAATAGTATTTTTTTTTCTCTTATTTTAACATGTATTTTATTATTTATTGTGTATGAATTGTCAATTTATTATTTTTCCATGGAGGGTATAAAATAATAACATATTATGATTATTAATTATTACCTGTAATTAATTTATTATACTCTTTTTCCATTGAATATAAAGTAATAATGAGTCTAACGTATAAATTTGTTAAATATGTGGGTAGTATTGCAAAGATATAAAAGTTGATGTAAAAAAGCATATTCCGATAATATCCTTTTGAGTTTGAGAATGAGTTTATCGGTTGGAGATGAATTATTGCAAAATATGACAATTACTGCAAAATGAGTTTGAGTATGAGCTTTTCGGTTGGAGATGGCTTTAGTGGGTATATTAAAATAATTTTTAAAATAAAATGATTACATTTAAATTGATGTAAAAGTAGGAGAGAGAAGATGTGATATAATGGTTAGTTAAAATTATGTGAGTAGATGAATAGTAAATTAAGGTTGATTTTTTGTGTGTAAGAATAATTGATTGATATTATTTAATTATATTGATAATATTGATGATAGTGAATTGATTGATTGATATTATTTAACTATATTAATGATAATAGGTTGAGTTAAAGTTGTGTTAGAAAAAATAATTAGATTTTTTTTTTTTTGGAAAAACTTATAAACAAGCATCACCTAAGACCTTCTCCAATGGAACTGCAAAACCCAATTTTTGCAGTTCAATTTGTTCTAAGGCAACCCAATTTGTTTTTTTAAGTAAAAGTTGCATACACGAAACTTCCAATCACAATAAATTTAAAAGAGCAAAATAAAACGAAAAGCAAGGAAAAAAAAACAAAAGAAACCACAAAAAAGAAAAGGTGCTGGAGCAAACCAACAAGCTCGTCTTAAGGGGGCAGCTGTTGCAACGCGCCCATGAAGCTGGGGGCCCATGAGTATACTGTATATACATGTATAGTAGATGTATTGGCCAATTCAAGTAATAATTAATTTAACCTCTAAGCCCAAAAACCTCGAAGACAAATTTTTAAAAAGAACTGATGCATAGCTTTATGAGAAAATTACCTGCCATACGACCAACCTAAATTTACTGCCCCAAAGACGAGAACTTTTTTCTTATTCCAATTACAGGTCTTGATTTCATACATAAAACCTAATTAATTATCAGTTTTTATAAGTCCAAGTTTATACATTCGCACATCAATTTCGTCTCTTGTTAATTTTTCCTTCATCAGTCATCAACACCAACCTGCCTCAACTCTCTATCTGTCATCATCGCACCGCCGACAGTTCCAACGCCCTAAGATCTGATGCGAAGGAGGCGGCCAACGGTACTTAGTCCAAGAGAGCATCTCCACCTTCGACGACGCAGCGGAGGGTGTGCATCTCAGCGCCATCAAACCGCCGCCAACATCACCCTTGTTTCGAGATCCTCTCCCTCTTCCGCTCGCTTCTCCCGCCACCTGCACCATTCGCCGCCTCGAGGCTCAGCATATAACTCGTCGAGGCGCAGGAACAACTAGTTGGAAAGGTGTGGTTTACTAAATTCTCTTAATCCAAAGTTGTGGTATACTAGTCTAGGGTTTAACTAATTTTTGCTTTTTTTGTTTTTGTTTTGGGGGTTTCATTGATTGATACATGAATTGCATGTGAATTGTTGGATTGTTATGTTTCTAATATTGCTGAATTTCCCTTTGTTAGTCCCCATTTAGGCTGCATTTGAATCCAGTAAACAAATAAAATGAATTGTTATCAAATTAGCCATTATTATCTTAATAAGCTATATATAAACTTGATGTAAACTTGGGAGAAATAATATGTTTGAACATTCTGTTCATTTTCCATCTAGGCTTCATAATTCTTGTTATTGTGGATTGTTTGTGGATATTCAGACAACCCAAGAAAAACAAATCCTCAATGATATCTGTCTTCACCGCGCAAGACATCCAGACAACCACGAAGAATTACTACTGCAACAATAGGCTCTAAAGGGAAGCCGGTGCAAGTGTCACTTACAGAGGAACATTAAAAAACAGTCCACGAAGAATAGAGATACAAAACTCATCGGGCTCGGTAGGTTGTTTGAGCCCTGAGGTGCAAACAGAACAGGGTGTGACGTCTATCGTTTGTAGTGGTGCTAGCGGAGCTATTGACGAGGGGACGACTTGGAAAGGATCTTGGATCCACCATCCATGGTAAATGGTTTCGTGTAGATTGAAAAACTTGCCGAGAAGTGCTTAGCGTGCTCGTCAATATAGGCCGAGTGTGAAGGAAGTCGCATTTGAGTTAGACTGCTTGAGTAGGGATTTTGGATCGTGAGGTACATGTTCTAGTTTCAATCTTCAGGGGGCTGACAATGCTTAAGGCAGTGAAACGATATAGGAGGAGTTTTGATGGAGTTTGTGTATTGGTATGCAATATATATGTGTTTTGAACATTTGAGAATTAGATTGATGTTTATTAATGGTTAGATTATGATTATTAATTGTTATTTTTTTTGTCTTATTTGTAGTTTATTTTTAGTTTTATTTTAGTTTTTTTGTCAATTTTTTTTTCATGATTTAGTAAAAAAAATTAGATAATAAACTTAAGATAAACCATTATATTTAGTTTTATCTTGTATATGTTTTGAGAAAACTTGTATATGTTTTTTTTTTTCTCTATTTGTTTTTCACGATTTTGTAAAATAATAGATAATAAACTTAAGATAAAT